AAAAAACGCCCAAGTATCGGAAAAACTTTTTAGGGGGGGGGGGGGGTGGACACACCATGTATAATAAGGTTAATGACCTTTGATAGTAAACCGTTTTTTCCGAAATTCGTTGTGGTTTTGGACCGTCGTTCGTCGCACGGTTGTCCTGCCTGTTCTGCTGTCGGACGTGCTCCGTACCTTCTCCGCCACTCTGCACCCCGTGGTGGGGGTCGACGGGGCCTGTTTCTGGGCGCCGCTGCTGTCGCTCCTCCGTCTGCCCGTGGGGGGGACTGCTGCTGTGCTCAGTGGCGGGGCTTCTTGGGCGCTCCACCGTTTCCCGGGCGTCGCTCCTCGTCCTTCCCGGAGGTGCATCCGCCGTGGATCTCGATGGCTCCAGGGTCATCACCTCCTCTGGTCGTCCTCCCGCCGGCAACGCTGAGACGGCGGCCGATCCGCGGAACACGGCGTGTTGCCAGCATCAACTATTTCGAGTCGCTAAATTCAATTTAAATTCATCTCTCCTTTTATTATTTATAACTTTATCTGTGGTTTTATTGTTCTTGTTTTGATTGTAAAGTGTCCTTGAGTGTTTTGAAAGGCGCTTATAAAAGGAATGTATTATTTTAAGCTCCTAAAAAAACGACCATGAATAGTAAGACGCTTTAGCCTGATGAAAACGACCGTCAAGCATTTTTAGCCCCTAAAAAACTAAAACGAACATGTATAGAAAGGCATTTTTGGCCGGGGAAAAAATAAAAAACAGACCACATACAGTAAGGTGTTTTAAGCCCAAATAAACCAACTACATTAAGGCAGGGTTTTTTTTCCCATCGAAAAACCCTGACTATAATGGTCGTGTTTTTCGAGGTTAAAACACCTTACAAGTCAAGTACAACTTTATTGTCAAATGTTTCTTCCCTCTCAACCAGACAACAGAAGCCGCTGCGGGTGCCCACACCGCCATCAAATAAAGTGTGAACATTAATGACAAAATACAACACAAGACACAGACAGTCGCGCAATCTGAACCACTTTTCTAGCATACGCTTTGTTTTTCAAAGCGGTTATAGACAAAAGAAGTGAATCAAAGTGTACTTTTCAACGACGTCATGCTGAAATGTGAACACGTCTGCTACAAGCTAGCTTGAAAGCGACAAGAAGCTGTCGAGTCCATTAAAAAGATTGGCTTTCATCTGCTGCCCCATGTAAATCTGCTTCAAATCCAAGATGCGAATCGCAGTGCCGCTGATGCTCCTTTCTTCTCATCGTCGGCTCCTCAAGCCATGCATGCAACCAGCCACAGACTGTCCAACAGCACCAACCTTTTCGCCGAGCAAAGCGGAGCTGTGAAAATGCTGCCCATCACAGGCGCAAAACACCTTCCTATGTCGTTTTTTTCATGCTAAAAACGCCTTACTGTACTATGTCGTTTTTTTCGCGCCGAAAACACCTTACTGTACTATGTCGTTTTTTTCATGCTAAAAACGCCTTACTATACTATGTCATTTTTTTCCCATTAAAAACGCCTTACTATACGATGTCGTTTTTTTCCGGCTAAAAACGCCTTACGATACTATGTCGTTTTTTTCCGGCCAAAAACGCCTTACTGTACTATGTCGTTTTTTTTTCCGGCGAAAAACGCCTTACTGTACTATGTCGTTTTTTTTCGGGCTAAAAACGCCTTACTCTACTATGTCGTTTTTTTCGGGTTCAAAACGCCTTACGATACTATGTCGTTTTTTTCCGGCTAAAAACGCCTTACTATACATGGTCGTATTTTTGGCTGTAAAAACGCCTTACTATACATGGTCGTTTTTTTGGGCTGTAAAAAAAACGTCTTACTCTGCATGGTCGTCTTTTTTGGTTCAAAACACTTGAACATATATGGTCATTTTTTTCTTGTGAAAAATGCCTTACTATACATGGTCGTTTTTT